CGATGAATTGGGTCGTCAGCGTTCCATCGCCAAACAGAGTGTCCCACCACCAGATTCGATCTCGGCCGTCGCACTCGCAAATGCCAACGTTCGCCAAGAAAGTCTATCCAACCAGATCAAAGACTTCATCAGAGAGGAAGTCGCCCGACAGCTCTCCCTGCTGCCGCATAGCGACGCGCCCACTGCAAGCCTGCCTTCGACACTTTAGCAGGCCATACGCACTGAAATTTCCAATGTACTCCCTACAGTGTCGGCCCCTTACCCATGTACTTCAGTAGCACCTGATCCCTCAACTGTCGGCTACACATCACTTGCGCCACCTTCACCTCTCAGCTACGCAGCTGTGGTCCCGCGGCCCCCACCGCATCCAGTCTCCTTATCGGCTCCACTTCCTCCGGCCTCGCCTTCGGTACACAGGCCCCCACCTCGCTTTTTCCGTCCATCTAATGAGTTGCGCACCCATGACAACCGTCCTATCTGCCTCGCGTGTGGCATCGCTGGCCACGTTGCACGCTTCTGCCACCGCCGTCCCACACCCGCGTACACCTCCTTTGGAACACCTACCTATGCGTCGCAGCAGGCCACCACGTCGGCATATGAACGGAGGCACTCCGACTCGGATAGTCGCCCATCAACTGCTCGTTTCTCATCTCCTTGTCGCCGATCGCCATCGCCTATGCGTGGTCGATCACCTCCTGAGGAGAGGAACTAATCAGTGCAGTTCCGGAGGCAAAAACTTCAACTTCTGCACAATTATCAAAGCCTCCATTTTCGCCACAAAATGTTGTTGATGTCGATGTTGAGGGAGTCGCCACACTAAGATTAATTGATACTAGGGACGCCGTTTCTGTGATAAACGCAAAATTTTGTCGCAAACTGAAGAAAGTGACCACATCTCTTTGTGGCATGGTGCTGCCACGGCTAGCGCGCAACGCATTCATCCCTCCGCTGTGGGTACGGCGCGCGTCATCATCCAAGACGTTCTGTACATCGTCCAATTTTTTGTTCTACCATCTTGCTCTCATGACCTCATCCTGGTTTGGGATTTCTTATCACGTCATGAAACTATCATCGATTGTTCCCATGCGGAAGTGTTCCTTGTGCCAATATGTGAATTTCCATCGCCCGACCGTTCTTCTCTGCTCTGCAAACTCATTGCTGATGATGACATCACCTTGCCTCCGGAAGCTTCAGTCCCTATTAACCTTTCATGTATAGCGCAACCTGACGCCACGGTGGTGTACACACGATTTCCGGTATTTACTGAACGCAAGGGCATCGTTCTCCCATTTGCCGTTCTTACAATTGCGTCTGGTTTAACCGTAATGCTGGTTACCAAACACTGCAACTACCCCATATCACATTGCCGCAATCACTCATGCGTCTGAGCCATCAAGTTCGTTAGCCTTCGACAATGCTATTGACGCAGACCTTACCCCCTCGCATCGCAGCCAACTTGTTGCTCTCCTTAACAAGTTTCGCTCTTCTTTCGACTTTCAGAAACCTGGTTTGGGCCGCACCACGACTGTCACTCATACTATTGACACCGGCTCACATTCGCCTTTGCGACAGCGTCCTTACCGCGTTTCCGCCGAAGAGCGCTGCATCATTACGGAGCATGTAGATGACATGCTTAAACGTGGAGTCATACAGCCTTCGTAAAGTGCTTAGTCATCACATGTGGTTCTGGTAAAGAAAAAAGGTGGCACCATTCGATTTTGTGTGGACTATCGCCGCTTAAACAAGATTACGAAGAAAAATGTCTACCCGTTACCATGAATAGACGATGCTCTTGACTGTTTACAAGGCGCCGAGTACTTTACATCATTGGATCTGCGTTCTGGGTATTGGCAGGTGCCAATGGCTAGATGTGATTGCCCTAAAACAGCCTTTGTAATGCCGGATGGCCTATATGAGTTTAAAGTCATGTCATTAGGGCTCTGCTACGTGCCTGCGACATTTGAGCGCATGATCGATACCATCTTGCGTGCCCACAAGTGGAAAACTTGCTTGTGTTACCTGGATGACATCGTAGTCTTTTCATCTGATTTCCCGACACATCTTGGTCATCTCCACGAGATTCTGACCTTTCTAACTTCTGCAGGCCTACAACTTAACACCAAGAAGTGCCACTTCGCAGCACGAAAACTAGCCATCTTGGGACATGTCATCACAAAAGACCGTGTTCTTCCGGATCCTGATAAGCTTCGAGCTGTCGCTGACTTCCCAATGCCCACACCACTGAAAGCCCTAAGAAGTTTTATTGGTCTCTGCTCCTACTTTCGTCGCTTCGTGCGCAACTTCGCGTCGCATCATCACACCTCTGATGAGTCTGATTTCCAACAGCAAAGGTATATCTGCATGGTCACCTGTGTGTGAAGACGCATTTCGCCAGCTGCGCCGCCTGCTGACCACAGCACCTATTTTTCGCCACTACGACCCCACTGCTGCCACAGAAATTCGCACCGATGCAAGTGGCGTCGGTCTTGGTGCAGTTTTGGCACAACGGAAAGGCACCCAAACCGAATACATAGTCGCTTATGCAAGTCGCGCTCTCAAGAAGGCTGAATTGAATTACTCCGTCACAAAGAAGTGTTTCGCCATAATTTGGGCACTGACAAAGTTTCGCCCGTATCTTTACAGCCGTTATTTCGACTTGGTCACAGACCACCACGCTCTATGTTGGCTGTCCTCCTTGAATGACCCGTCCGGACGCCTGGGGCATTGGGCACTTCGATTGCAGGAATACGACATCCGTGTCGTATATCATTCCGGTCGCAAGCCTCCGGATGCCGATGCACTTTCCCGATCGCCATTAACACCAGATGTGGCTTCTCTGTCACCCCTTTTTACCACCTTGTCACCACTCGACACCTCTGACATGCTTTCGGAGCAGCGTAAAGCCCCATACCCTTCCTTGTTAATCGACTACCTTACCGATCCGTCTGCTGTCTCTTCCACGAGAGCGCTACGCCGGCAAGCAGCCCACTTTTCCTTATGAGACAACATTCTATACCGCCGCAACTACATGCCTGCTGGTCGGAAGTGGCTCCTTGCTGTCCCAACTCATATGCGCTCTGACATCTGCATGAATTTCCATGCAGATCCCCAAAGTGCTCACGCAGGTGTCCTGAAAATCTACGAAAGGCTGCACCAACTATATTACTGGTGAGGAATGTATCGCTTTGTGCAGAAATACGTTCAGTCTTGCACCACTTGCCAACAGAACAAGACACCTCCACGGCACCTTACTGGCATGTTGGAGCCGCTCCCGTGCCCGGCTCGCCCATTCTACCGCGTGGGTATTGATCTCTATGGTCCCCTCCCATATAGTGGCTCTGGAAACCGGTGGATTATTGTCGGCGTCGATCATCTGACATGCTACGCTGAGACTGCAGCTCTACCGGCAGCGACCGCCCACGAAGTTGCACCCTTCATTCTCCCCAGCTTCATTCTACGCCATGGTGCTCTGCGGGAATTACTCAGTGGTAGAGGTCGAGTGTTCCTGTCGGAGGTCATCCAAGGTATCCTCGCTGAATGCAACATCATCCTCCGGAAATCTACCGCATACCAGCCAGAGACAAATGGTCTCACTGAGCGCTTCAACCGCACACTTGGCGACATGCTGAGGATGTACACCTCCTCCGACCACACTAACTGGGACGCTGTATTACCTTTTGTTACCTTCGCTTATAACACCGCGACGCAAGCGACTACTGGTTTTTCTTCGTTCTTTCTGTTGTACGGCCGCGAACATTCCCACCCACTCGACACTATACTCCCGTACCGCCCTGATGCATTAGAGTGCTCCCTGCTTTCGGAAGTCGCCAGATACGCTGAAGACTGCCGTCAGTTGGCTCGGTCTCTGACAAGTGAAGCTCAAGGTCTACAAAAGACTCGACACGACGACGCTCACCATATAGCTCCTACGTTTCGTGCTGGCTCTCTTGTGTGGCTTTGGGTGCCCTCGCACGTTCCTGGCCTTTCTTCTAAACTTCTGGCCCGGTACCATGGTCCGTACCGTGTCATTGACGCGACCTCCCCGGTGAATTACATCATCGAGCCACTAACACAATCACCAGATTTGCGCCTTCGAGGATGCGAGACCGTACACGTCGACCGTATCAAGCCCTACTACGACCCCCTCATTGTGCCTACTCCCTGAGTCGTTAAGATGGCTACTCTTCACCCCGGGGGTATTGTAGTTGAGCATACGCACCAACGCGTATGTGCCTTCGGAAGATAACGAAAACCCTCGTGCTCTGATTGCGCGAGAGCCTGTGCCACCTTTGCCAGACTTGCCGTACGGTCATTTTTTTGTTGCAACCTCGTTGCGACTTCTCTGCTTGAGTAAAGATCATCACAAATCAAATATCGCGCAACTCTACAAAGCACTGATGTAAGAGAATACAGTCTGGCCAAAGAGAGATGCTCTGCTCGAAGTCTTTTTGCGCATAGCGATCGCAACCACGCCCTAAGGATCAATGTTCAGAGCTGCTCCTGGAGCGATCACAGCCTTCACGAAACCGAAACTATAACCGTTTGGATGAAATCAAAAAGACAATATTTCAACCACATTTCCAGGCACGGTGGTTGATGGCTTTCACACTTTGCGGCTAAACTCCAGCGCTGAGGCGCAGTATGGCGCTGATAGGAGAGTTTGGCACAGCAGGGGTGGTTCGGTGCCGGATGGCGCAGGTAAGCAAGTTAGGCGTTCAATGGCGCAAGTGGCGCAGCTGCTCTACCCCTGCAGTTATCTTTCATGTAGACCCCACATGTGCCAGATTGATAGGTTCGCATATTGCATGGGCATGTGCAGATCAGTCTTCGTGCCTTCTTTCTTTTCTGCCATTGTGCGCATATTCAGTTGTCAGTAAGCATTCGTGGAACCCTTCTTGTGTTCCTGTTTGCATGCCTTGTCTCTTTGTATAATACCAACCAGCTCAGCTTTCTATTATTCTTAAATAAAGTTGCCACATATTTTTCTTTCTTTTGCACAGAGTAATCACAATCATCGTATGCAGCATGCGCACCAGCAGCACCACCCTTCATCACATCATTCACGCTCGGAGTTTGTAAGCTTGCCATACTTCCAGCAGCAACAGCAGCAGTACATGATGCCTGCAGAAAATGGCTGCCACTACCACATGACTGAGGTGGGCCGGCCAGGGGAAGAGGAAGAAGACAGTCTGAGCACACCCAAAAAACGCGGCCGTAAGAAGAAAATTAAGGTGTGTATTCGATATTCGTTACTAGATTTAACGGGCTCAACTGAATGCTTGCTGTGCCTAAATACTTCATCGCTCAGTTGCAGTTATGCTATTTATAACAAGTCCTCGTGAGCAGATATGAAAGCGGAAATAAAAGTCGCAGCATTTGGAGTTGGCCAAACTAAAAAAATAAATAAATGTACCAATCTTAATGAAAAAAAAATGTTTTTGTTCAATTTAGAGGACCTGTTATTACTTTTCAGCAAAGTGATAGCACTATTTCAATTCAGTGGGGTTCTTTTATTCCACTAACAGTGTAAAAAAAGAAGATAACTGGTAGATGGGTTCACAACATGACAATACAGTGAATGGTGGCTATAGAGTTAGACTCGAGGCACAAATTTTGCAGCATTGGAAAGTGTGGCCACCTAGCATCAAGAGGCACAGCTATGACAAGTGTAGTTGCTATTAGTTTCATAATGGAGCAATTTTCGTTGATGACAAGTATATTAGTCTTCCTCAGTCATTTTGTTGGGAAATCTCCTGACAACTTTACTCGCCTACAGCAATGAAAGAGTTTTAAGCCCTGAAGAGGGCAATAGACTCTGTGATGCCTCTCTTGTCTCTTGGTCGCTTGTGAGGCATCTGACAGGCATATACTCGTTTTGCCATCTCACTGTGGCTCACTTTTTCACTGTAACAGGAGTTGGCCTCCCCAACTCTGAGTCTGGCCAACACCTCCCAAATATGACAGGAACAATGTTAAAAGATCGGAGGGCAGCAAAATGGTTCTGAGAACAAACAGGGGTAGCAGATATTCTAGTTGACATCAAGGGAAAGATATGGGCCTGGGCCGATCACATAATGCATAGATCAGGCAACTAGTGGACAGTTGGAGCGGCAGGATATTTACCAATGGATGGGAAATGCAGCCGAGGAATGCAAGAAGTTAACATACACGAGGTGTCGCATGGCATTAAAAGGGTGGCGGGAAGATACGGGGTCGATATGGTTTTTCAGCGCCTTGTAAGTTATCTCGTTTGTGTGATATGTCCAACGCAAGCAAAGTTAACAATAGAAGATGTGCTGTTAAGCACAGATGTGCATATATACCCGCACAACTGAAGGGGTCTACAAATTTCCTGTGACCTTTGGAATGGTTTATGTGTGGCAGACCGGAATGTGTAATAACAAGCATTTGATGGGGCAGGCTAATCCATTAGGAGACAGAGGTGGGAAGCACCTACCAGTTAGTTCATTATGGCGCATGTGCACAGAGATGCAAGCCCATCTCCAGTAGCGCCAAGGTGATAGGGCGAGCCAAAAGTCAAAGAGCAAGAGAAATCTTGGAGGCCTCTTGGATTGCTAGACACAGGCCTGATAAGTGCATCAGCGACACATTCGTGTATCTTTCCAAGAAAGAGCGCGATTTCCTTGTTTGTACATACAGGTGTTAGGGGTGATGCAACATGTCATGTGGTTATGACTGTTACTGCGCACACGCTTAGTTTGTTTAATAAGGGTGGTGTATGTTTCAATAAACTGGTTATTCTGCGATGGTCCTATCCACTTTGTTTCTAATGGCTCGTCTTTAGCGCAGTTGTACTTTTTCAATTATTCCCCAAGTGTCATGTTATCTGCAGCCAGAACAAGAACAAGAAAGTCCATGCAATTTCATCTTTTCTTGTATCGAAAACCATCACAAAAGCAATAGGCCCAGGATACAAAATCACAAATATGGGAAGTGGTAGTATCCTTCTGGAGGTTAGTGACAAAGATAAATATGACAAGCTTTTTAAATTTTTTGCGTTTGAAAACATCTCTGTTTCAGTGGGTTCACGCAGTTCTATGAATACCGTCCATTTTCAGTCAACTGAGGTTACTGTAATCAAGCAAATTTTCTTAATTGTTACTTTCCCCCGGGAAAAAAAAAATTACCAATGCACAAACTTCGTCACTCACCTAGTATACCAAGGCTCATGAACGCTTTGGTTTGTATCTTTCCACTTGGTTCCTTAAGAACGACAAAAGCTGGTAGTTTGTGGCCGCTTGCGCATGCTGCCAATTCAACTGTGAAGCCCCTGCGGGCACAGCCAGTATTGGTAATTCGCACGGGGCTTGCCCCAATCGCGTTCGTCCTGCTCGCCGGTGAGTCGATTCGGACCATCGTCTGGTCCATATTACAAATGTTGAATGGTGTGTAGTCGGGGCCTGCTCGCAGGCTATTCACAGCAGAGCGAAATGCCTTTGCTGCAACCGAGAAATCGTCAGGCGTCTTCTGGCTCTCATTTGTGGAGTGGTGCATTGTCACGCCGAACCGCTGCTTGCACCTCTTGATATACTGGCTCGGCGTAGCAAAATTTTCTAGCTGCGAGCTGCGGGCTATTTTGACAGCTTATTCTGAGAGAAGTCTGTTACTAACAGCATGTCCAGCACTCCTTTATAGGAGCGTCGTCTACTTCCTCACTGAACACTAGCGCTCTGTTGCTCAACTTACACCGAAGCTTGGCCGTGCCAAGGTTTTGTTGCAGTAAGCTCTCGAACTTTTTGTCCCACTCGCAGACCCTCTTTTTGTGAATACTGAAGTGGCGAGCTGTCTTGTGCACATTCTTTTTGGCCTGGCGATGCCATTGTACGGCTTCCATTTTTTTAAACTGTATAAGAATGCATGTCTGAAGTCACCGCTGTCACGCTCGGAACCTACAAATGACAATAACAAAATGGTAGGTGTCATGCCAATGCTAGCAAATGTGGTCAATGTGATCACATGACCAACTTTTGGATTGTATTTTGGATTAGGCAAGAGCATAGCCATCGGCACGGTTTCGGTTTCAGCAGTTCGGGGTGAGTCAGCAGAGAGTGGCTGGTTAATGGGGGGGGGGGGAAGGGGGGGGGCTTGCTTGGTAAAGATCTAAAATAGGAAATCGTCACGGTATATGAGGGGGGCGCTTACATGGGTGAGGGCATTTGATTGGTATTTTACGGTAGATTCACAAATTTAACACAACACTTTATGGCACAACTTATCTCTGAATTCCAATGTTCCATTTTTGTAGCACACGACAAAAACACAAGTTCACTTATGGTGCTGTAAAAGCTAATGTATTAGGCGTACGATGTTGTAACTCGGTTTGAGTGCTGTAAAAACTACTGTATTGGCTGCACAGTGTTGTAACTCGGTTTGAGGAAGCGAAAGGGATAAGAAAACTGGTCTAGCACAGGCCGTTACACGAAACGTCACCAGATTGCGCGCAGTGCTGCCAGTATCGTTACTTTTTCAATGCACCTCATACTATAGCCTTGCTAACAATATATATTCATCGATAGACCTCAGCATTGTCTCTTCATCGCTCGTTTCTTTACTTGCATAGAAAGTAATCAATAATCTTTAGAGAAGTGACCACTTTCTGGTCACCACCAGTATCAAGTGAAGATCAACTCACCAGTATCAAGTGAATGTCATCCACAGGTTCCCAGATGGTTCACAGACAAAGACGATTGGGAATAGTAGCTCCATAAAATCACCCGTTGTAGATGGACTGACCTATCTGGTTTAAACATAAATGAGGCCGTAAGTACTTTTCAGCTTTTCCGGCTGATGCTACAATTAAATGCATCCCGCAAACGCCTGGACTGGTCAGCAAACATCGTGCTCCGCGGTGGAACAGTGAGTGTCGAAAGGCACGCTGGAAGTAAAATAAAGCATGGAATGAGAATCTTAGACTTTAAGAACATGAATTCTCGGGGCATGAGACCACACCAGCAAGCTAGGAGAGAAAGCTGGCAGAAGTTTTTATTAGGCATCAATTCATATACACAAGAAACTAAAGTCTGGAATGTGGTTAGTAAGGTAGCAAGACGACATGCATATTCACTACCTCTGTTAAACACATAAGGAGACACCTTGGAAGACCAGGCAAACTTCCTCAGCGCCCACTTCAAGGAGGTGTTCAGCTCGTGCCATTATATTGAAGCTTTCCAATGACACAAAACAAGAATCGAAAAACAAAAACTAGAGTAAGAGTCCTCTAAACACAAGGCATACAATGACCCTTTCTTTCTGGCTGGGTTACAAGCATCGCGAAATTTCTGCAAGAAATCTGCCCTAGGCTTTGACCATATAGTATAAGAAATGTCAAAACACCTGCCCTCTGAAATGCAAAAAAACCCTACTTTTGCTGTACAGTGCTATCTGGTTTTCTGACGCGATTTCTATTTCTCGGAAAGAGATTATTCATTCCAATTTTGAAACAGGACAAGGACCCTTCCTCTGTTGCAAGCTACAGGCCCGTTGCACTTATAAGCTGCCTTTGTAAACTTTTCAAAAAGATGATGAACAGTCGACTTTCACATTTTCTTGAAACGAACAGTCTACTCAGCGGATCCCAGTGGTGGTTTTGAGAGGGTGGATTCATCACCAACCACCTGGTACATACATATCAAGACACAGATCCTAGACGAACAGCAACCGGTTGCGGAGCTGGCATTCTGCATATCAGACGACACCATTGTCATCTGCTTCCACTTCATGGCTGTGCCCTGCTCGCTGCAGCAGCCCCTTTCTCAATTTCTTTCATTTCCTTATAGTACATTGAAATGAACTACTTACTACAAGCTCATAGGTATCTTGCATACTTCATTTAGTAAGTTATGATGCCGCATACAGGCTGAGCGAAATGACAACGCTGATCACACAAGCTTGCAGCAATAAATTGTTTTATTGCGAGTCAACCGATCGATGTTTACATAAAATAAAGGTCACGTAAGTAACATTTTAGCATGTGCAGCAGTGAGCATGCATCAGCATTCATGTGCAAACAAGGTACGTACTACGCATAGCCCTAATGCAGATGCCCGGAGCACAGAAGCTGTCCAGCACTGGCTGATATATCCATAGCACTCCACGAAACCTTTGCTGGTGTAAGTAAGGGTGTACTGCTTACGTCCCTGCACTTGTGCAACTTAAGATTTCACAACACCTCGTTGACAGTAATCGGTAAATTTTCTGTAATTGGTAGCAC